AGGAATGGAGCAGTGGCAGTGCCAGAAATTCTGCAGGGCAGGCACTTGGGAAGCAATCTTGTATGAAGTGTAAAACTAGGGGGATTTTCTCAAAGCTGTATTTGTATAGCAAGCATATTGTTTTTACTTAGATTTTACGGGCTTTGTAGGGGAGAAGGTAATGAAAATTCTGCAAGGAGGCTTAAGGCCTCTAAGGCACTTATATTGGGTCCGCTTAGCCATGCCAGCTGACAACTCTCACAATTCAATCTGTCTCCCCCAAAATATTACTTTCAGATTCCTTTTTCTTTCTGTTTTCTTAGAACCCTCTACTCCCGGCTCTCCCACCTACCCTCCTGGCGCTACAGGGTAAAGAGCAAGGAAAAAGGTAAATGATGACAGTCTATGTGAATTAACTGGTAGGCCAGGCTTGGAAACAAGAAAATTTGAGGCTAAACAAGATTCCCCCAAGACTGAATTAGGAGAGAGGAGCATTTTTCTCTCCTCTTTCTAACCAGAATGTCTTGATACTCTCCTTGTCTTATTTCCCAGGCCAGAAGAGATTAAGAATGATGAGAGGGGGGCTTCCCTGGTGGCGCAGTGATTAAGAATCCACCTGCCAATGCAGGGGACATGAGTTCGAGCCCTGGCCCGGGGAAGATCCCACATGCTGCAGAGCAACAAAGCCCGTGCACTGCAACTACTGAGTCCGTGCTCTAGAGCCCGCGTGCCACAACTACTGAGCCCGAGTGCCACAACTACTGAAGTCTGCTCATGTAGAGCCCATGCTCTGCAACAGGAGAAGCCACTGCAGTGAGAAGCCTGCGCACCTCAAGGAAGAGTAGCCCTGCTCAACGCAACTAGAGAAAGGCCGTGCGCAGCAACAAAGACCCAACACAACCAAAAATAAATAAATTAAATAAATAATTTTTTTAAAAAAATGATGAGAGGGGAGGAGGGGAGACAACGTTCTTAGTGGAAACTTGTGCACCTCCCCCAAGCCTGAGGAGGCTGAGTCACCAGGCTGACTCAGAGACCCCAAAAGTCCCCTCACTCTGGCTTCCTCACCGGGCTGACTGCATATTCCTGATCACAGTCCTTGGGCCACTCTCCAGCACACCCAGCCACTCTGTTCCATCTTGCCCAACCCCTATTAAGTTGAGGGGCAGGGAGACTGCAAAGTAGATGGTAAGGTGGGAATGCAATGGGAGAGTATGCAAACTCAGTGGGACAGAAAGAGGCTGGCAGAATTGGGAGATAGATGTTCAGGGAGAGGGGATACAGGAAATGTGGAGAGTGGATCAAGAGTTCTAGGTGGATGGGGGTGGGGGAAGAGGAGCTGAGAGGGAAATAAAGAAGGGTTCATGTGGTTTTGGGAAGACAAGGGAAACAGGTCGTACCAAGAAAATAAGGGGCTGGCACAACTGAGGAGTAACCTGGAGGTCTCAGAGAGGTTAGAGGTTTGGGTACTATCCGGAGACATATAAGGGGGGTGGGTCTGAGACGGGGTTCAGGGACTGGAGTTCAGAAGCCTGACTCTGAGGGGACTTAAAAGTGGGCCACAAGTAATCCAAGAGCCTGAGGATGAGGGCATGGGGGAGTCGGGGATCTAGGGTATGGCCAGTGGGCTCACCGATGGTGGAGATGTAAGTGTTGTTGAAGTTGTCCTCTGCAAAGCGAATGATCAGACAAGTCTTGCCCACCCCTGAGTCCCCGATCAGCAGCAACTTGAAGAGGTGGTCGTAGGCTTTGGCCATGGCGGACACTGGGGGTGCCGGGAGAGGGGTGGGGAAGCGCCGTGCACTGGTAGGCGGGATTGGAGGGTTGGCAAACAGAGCGGCCCCGGAGCCCAGGCCAGGAAGTTTTCCTCCCTCTCCGCCCAGTCTCCGGGAAAAAGGAGAGGCGGCACTCCTCTGGGCCCCACCCCCTGCCCGCCCACCCCTTTCGGCTGGCCAAGGAGGCCAGCCCTGACTTCGGCTCTCTGGGCTTTCCCTTCCTAGCCAACACTGGCCTGTCTCCCTAGCCATTTCCCATAGCTTTTTGCTTACTATCGTCCCCCTTTAAAAAAAAAAAAAAATTTATTTACTTATTTTATTTTTGGCTGTGTTGGGTCTTTGTTGCTACGCGCGGGCTTTCTCTAGTTTTAGCGAGCGGGGTCTACTCTTCGTTGCAGTGCGCGGGCTTCTCATTGCGGTGGCTTCTCGTGTTACAGGCTCTAGGCGCGCGGGCTTCCGTAGTTGTGGCACGCGGGCACAGGAGTTGTGGCACACGGGCTTAGTTGCTCTGCGGCATGTGGGATCTCCTGGACCAGGGTTCGAACCCGTGTCCCCTTCACTGGCAGGTGGATTCTTAACCACTGCGCCACCAGGGAAGCCCCCGTCCCCCCTCTTTTGACTTCACTCTTCCAGTCTGAAGCCAGAGACGCTGGGGTGATGTGAAGTAGAAGTTTAATCAAAAGGGGAAGAGGACTTTTAGAGGAATTAAGGGAAAGGGAAGTTTGGGGGAATAAGGGTGAAGGCCAGGACAGCACTGGGAGTTGCCAAAAATCGGGGACTGATTTTTGGAGGGGAGACTCAGGGAAAACAGAATCCTGGGGCAGTTCTAGAATTCTGGTGTTAGTGTTCCAAGCCCTTAGTTTTAGAATCCCAATTCCTTTTGAAAAAAGCGGGATGCCTGGAGTTGGTGGCTATTCGTTGAGTCAGTCTGCCCCCTGGTGGAACAGAGTGAAAATTAAAAGTAATTACACTATAGAAATCCACACACACATGTTAGTGTTCCAAGCCCTTAGTTTTAGAATCCCAATTCCTTTTGAAAAAAGCGGGATGCCTGGAGTTGGTGGCTATTCGTTGAGTCAGTCTGCCCCCTGGTGGAACAGAGTGAAAATTAAAAGTAATTACACTATAGAAATCAGCACACACACACACACACACACACACACACACACACACACACACACACACTTCACCTAGATACATTCTGGAGCTTCATTTTGAAGTCTTTCTTCTGGGACCGTGTGTGTGAATTCTCTGCCAAGCCAGCTCAGGAAGACAGAGATTGGGACTACAAATGTCTGGTCTTGTTCTTTTCATGAGATCTGGATCTTTTAACACAGCCCTGAGACAGTACTCCTGACACCCCACTGAACAGACTGTGAATGTGTAGCCTTGGCAACCAGGAAGCTGAAATATGGAGAACACAGCTATAAAGAAACAAATTTATCTTTGCCTTTGGAAAAAATTACTCAGAATATCTGCTTTTCTAATAGCAGGTCAGTAGAATAGTTCCTGTATAAGGATAGTAGTGTACTGGTTGTGAGAAGGCATCTCTTGTCACTTCACTTATCCTCGTTACCTTGTGTGCCAATGTTCGTCCTTTCTCAAACACAACTATTCAATCCCCTTTTGTCCTTTATCTCACCAGCCATTATGTTTACAAGCTGTATTACAAACCTTGAGTGTCCTCTATTTCTCGCTGGCCAAACCATCTCTCTCCAGCCCTTTAAATTATTCTTCAATGTTCATGGATTGTTCTGATAAAAATCCATCAATTCTTTTTCATTTCATTTTATTTTGTCTGGATCTGGACTCTTCATACCCAGCAATATATTATTCTTTCTCACCTCTCTAAATTGTACTTATGCTGCTGTATACCTGCTTTCACTGGAGCCTCATCTCCATAGTACTCTCCCCCTAGCTCTCAGAGCTTCTGCAACAATGCCTTCCGCCCCCCCAATTTTGGCAGGTTCATTCGGTCTCTGGTTTTATATTCACAAGCTCTTCCCTCAGCTTAGAATTCGGTTCCCCCAAACTGCTGCTTGGTTGATTCCTTGTCTTTCAGATTTCAGCTTAAACGTCACTTCCTCAGAGGTTTTTCTCACCCATCAGTAGTGTGCTGGAACCAATCCTTACTGGCTCATGAGAACAGATTGTGCTTATCTCTTTCCAAATCTGTGTTTAATGATATCACATTGATAGTCTGAAATTGGCCACGGTGGGAGTATTTACACCATTGAAATTAGCAAAGACAACAAATCAGGGCTCCCCTCCATATAGTCAGGTGTTAAACGTTTACCAGTACAGTCTTGACTAGAACTCACATCCCTTGCCCTATTCCATTCCTTTGGAATTAAACAGGTCCCCAGATGCCATTTGGGTCATCTTCGCCCCTCCTTTATGACAAATGGACATTCTAACCCTTTGATCATTACTGTAGAAGACCATGATTTGTTCTTCATTTTTTCTTCTCATTCCCTGTCAAGAGTGTCGATGCTGCCAAGATTAGAAATCTTGGAAAGGCGGTGCTGGTGAAAATGTGGGGGAAAGGATGTGGGAATGTAAACTGGCACAACCTTTTTGGAAGGCAGTTTAGTACCATACTTTGGACAATTTGTTTAATGTCTCTGGACATCACTTTCCCCATCTGTAAAATGTGGATAATAATAGTATCAACCTGATGGAGTTGTTGTGACGATTAATTAAGATGTGAAAAGCAGTCAGAACAATGCCCAAATAAGCACTACATAAGTGAGTGATGTAATTAGTATTAGAGGGAAAGAAGGAAAGGAGAGAATAAAATTTAACAATGGTTAGCCCTAGGAAAAGGCTGGAGGTGCGGAAAGTATGAGGACTTCCTTTTTTTATATTTACATTTCTGAATTGTTAAAAATGGGCAAACTAAACCAATTGAAAAATAGTAAAGAAATTTAATAAGTCCCAGACATGGCTCAGTCTCGCTGTTTTCCTAAGCAGTTCCCATTGTTAAAGTGTAGCGCGAAATTTAAAAACTGTCCATTTACCCCTCAATAGAGATCAAACGCTAACCTTAAGAGAACATGCTCACTCTCTCAACATGGCGACTCATCTATGTTCTGTCATTTAGAGACCTTCCAAACATGGCAGCCCCCTCCTCGCCCCGCCGCCCACACACCGTGAGAGAAGGACCTTCCCAACATGGCGGCAGAAGGCCCAGGCGTCACTTCCTGCGGGACGGCGGATTTAAGGAGCAGGATTTCCGCTTTCGCTCCTTTTCGACGGTGACGACCTCCCCATGAGAGCATGCCTGTGAGTTCCTTGGTGCAGGTTTCCGTGGAGATCTCGGTCTTCTGTCCGCACGCTCCCCTCACGCTGACTTCGGATCGCAGAGGGCTCTCACTTGCTCTCCGCACTTTGCAGAGGCCCATGGGGCTTCCTGCATAGACAGGAGCGGAGAGGCGATAAGATGGCGGCCCAGCTGCGCAGACAGCAGGGGCGGCGAGGGGCGAGCTCTCCCCGGTGTGTGGCAGCGGGGACTGTTTTCGATCATCCCGTGTTCGCCGATGGTTTCTAAATCTCTGCATTTCTGCCTCTCTTAGCTCGCAAAGGATCTCCTTCATCCCTCTCCAGAAGAGGAGAAGAGGAAACACAAGAAGAAGCGCCTGGTGCAGAGCCCCAATTCCTATTTCATGGACGTGAAATGCCCAGGTGAGGAGATAACTTGCAGTAGTGGGGAAGGCACTGGACCCCAAGGAAAAAGGTATCCTTGAAACGGTTCTGATTTCTTAAAATTTGAATGTTTGAGATGGGTAAAATTTTGCATTTCAGGAACAGTGATCCATAGTGATCTCCCTTCAAAACTTTATGTGCAGACCGTAACATTTCTTTGTGTTGAGAAACACTGGAATGTTATGTTGGGCTTCTGCTGTGGTCATTTATATATTTGTACCTGGAGGCAAGGGGGTGGATATGTTGACCAGTTACTGAGCCTTTCTTCTCACTAAATAGAGGATTGTCTATATTTTAACTCTCGGATAGTTTTTTTTGGATGATGGTGGTAACGCATTAACAAAAAAATCATAGGTGGGGGCAGATAGTCCAGGTTGCTTCTAAGTTGGTTTTAATGTATACCTAGAGCCAAGTAATCGATTTAGAATAGGAAACTAAATTTCAAGAATTTACGTAACATGCTTGTTTTACAGTTAATACATGACAGCATATGTTTAAGTGAATAAAGGTTTGGGGAAAATAGGGTAACTCGATGTTTTTTCACAGGATGCTATAAAATCACCACCGTCTTTAGCCATGCACAAACAGTAGTTTTGTGTGTTGGCTGCTCTACCGTCCTCTGCCAGCCTACAGGAGGAAAAGCAAGGCTTACAGAAGGTAAATGGTTTAATTAATGTTGTGATTTTGGGGTTTGAATCTTAAGAGAGGTCATGTATAATGTAAATTATCAGGCTGTCTTGCAAAGAGGGTTGGGTTTGATAGTCCTTTTTTTTTTCCCTCCAAAAGCATAATTACAAAGCACTAATCTCAGTGCTCCTGTCTAAGGCTGGGGTGGATGGGTGATAAAAGGGGGTTCATATGAACTGAAGCTGATGTTGTCTTTAAGTGAGTAGGTAGGAGCTAAAAGAGTTGAGAAAACTACAGATGTAGGTTTCCCGTGGGTATCAGGCATCGTTTTGTGCGGGTGGGACAGGGTAAGTAGGCTGCTGTCAGTTAACCTTCGGAACTTATTCTTGCAGGGTGCTCTTTCAGACGGAAGCAGCACTAAAAGCCCCTGGAATCAAGATGAATGGGAAACCATCCGAATAAACACATTTTGGATACGTCCTGTTTATTGTCTTGTTTTACTGCTAGGAAGTTCCTACCTCACGTATTCAGGGGCAATCAGAAGAGTGGACTGTAGAGTCATTTGGGGCAAGTAAGTGGTCAAATACTTAAAAAGTCCATTTGGGACATTCCTATACCGTAGGCTCATTGAATAAATCTGCAGAGCTTGATTAAAAACTGGAATGGTATATAAGTGGGGTATTTGCTTTCACTTTTACGTTTTCTTAGAATTAAGAACTGACAGTTGATCTTTAAAACGCGATCCAGCACACCACTTTAACACAAAACAGCTTAGGATCCTTTATTTACAGTTCTCAGAAGGCTTGTTTGGAGGCTTATGAGTGTAGAGGTTGCTGCTAGGCTCCCGGTCTAGGGCTAGAAATCTCCAGCCCCCTGCAGTTAAGGGGCCTTGTCCAAGCAGAGGTTAGTGCCTTGTACTCCAAAGCCAATGTTGTAGCCGACGCTGTGCTGGTGGCAGTTGTGGACTCATGAAGGGAGGGGGAGAACGTGTGGCTGTGTAAGAACCTAGAAGTAAAGGAGGAAGGGAAATAGATGAAGGGTGAATAAAAGTGAATGAGGATGATACCTGAGATTTTTTAGTGATAAAGATGGTGATTCTTTACCTGGTTGTGGTGCACCTAGAGTTGGTACATAAACAACTGGAACTGTCTGTATCTTGTTTAGGAAGGCATTGTATGCTGGAAAAAGAATAAGGGAGATGTCACCAAAAAGAACTGTTTTCACTGGAGGAAGGCCTTAAGGGGCAAGTATTGCTATAAAAAAAAAAGGCTTCAAATTAAATAATTAAACTTATAGGAAATTTTTATTCAATGATTTTTAGAGGTATTCCAACTTTTGGTTGAAAGATGGGAAATGCACGTGTAGATGATAGTACGTGTTGTGTTGCTTGAATCATCTCTAGCTATGTGTTTGAGCAAAACTAGCTATAATCTAAGGTTTAGCAGTAATTTCCACTTCTGAGTGGTATTTGTTGGCCACATGCAGTTCATTGCTTCCTAGTAAGTTGGGCGGGATCTTTGGTCCACTAGTGACTAGGGGTAGGGAGGCTAAATCAGTTTCAATTGCATGTCCCAAATTAGATGTGATAAACAGCTAATTTTCATCCTCATTTAGTTTGTGAAATAAAATGAAGGCAGTTTCCAAGTCAAAAGGCCACGGTGCTGAATATAAGGACTTCTTACCTAGAAAGAGGAAAGCTGTTGGTGCCAACACCGCAAAGAGGGTAAAGAAAATCTGGTAAGAACCCATGAGCTTCTGGAGGACACCTGAATCTTCACATTGACCTACACATTGGCAGAATAAAAGAAGATTACAGTTATCCAGGACAGATGTTGCATTTAAAAACTTGTGTGGTCCTAAGAGTATCTAGCTGAAACAGTCAAAACCCAGTCCTCTAGGAAATTCTTTTGCTTCTTACCAGAGAAAAAGGGGTGAACTGAACTTAGCTCCTCTTACCTTTTTTTGGCTTTTTACGTAACAGTAAACTACAATTCTTGAGTCATTTCTTTTCAGCTTACAAAAGAATATTTAAATTCTTTGCCACTTTAAAATGCCTCTTACCTTTCCTGTGCACTTTAACTCCATGTGACTGCTTGCCTTCACCAAGTTTGTGATAGTCTATGGCGATTCAACTTCTCCTTTTAATCCCTCTAACCTGAATGAAATATTTCGTTGGATCACCAATAACCTCTTAAATCCAGGGGCTACTTGTCCTTTTTTATTCAGGTACATTCTGATATGTTTATAAACTTGTCCTCAATAAAACTTCAGACTTCTGTGTTTGAAGCATGCTTGGCACTTGCCTTTGGTTATTTCAAACTTTTCAGTGTCTAAAAATGAACTCTTCCCTGCCCCACAAAACTGCCTGAATTTAACTGGCCTTCCCAGGTCAACTGTCACCAGGCCCTTGGACCTAGTTCCTATTCTGCATCCCTTACATAGGCCCTCTATCTCTGGGCTCTTAACTGGTCTTACCTCTCACCAGACTGTTTCACAACTGTTATAACAACTTCACACTTTACAGACTGCTTCACTCTGAAGACTAATTTGAGGTTGCTTATTAGTAGAAACAAGACTATATTAATCCCTGATCAGGTCCCACTGTTGGGAGTCCCAATAAAACTTAGGCACATTAATTTATAGCACTCCTTTGTTCTGGCTGCATTGAACTAATTCCAGTCTTAGTTGGGCCCTGTCTTTTTAAATTATGTTTTTGGCTGTGCCGGGTCTTAGTTGCGGCACGCGGGATCTTTTTAGTTGTGGCATGCAAACTCTTAGTTGCAGCATGTGGCATCTAGTTCCCTGACCAGGGATCGAACCCAGGCCCCCTGCATTGGAAGCGTGAAGTCTTAGCCACTGGACCACCAGGGAAGTCCCTGGGCCCTGTCTTAAATCTGATTTCTGCAAGTAGGGACTGTGCTTGGCACATAACAGTAAGCACACACTTGTATGAATGAGCTGAAGGTTGGATATTTGTATCTAAAGACTCCCACCCACTGTGATTGTACTGTTAAACTGCTTGTCCTTCTTATCTCTAAGAAGTGCAGGGGTTCTTAACTTTTTTTTTTTTTTTTTGCCATGGGCAACTTCAGCAGTCTGATAGAGTCAATGGATCCCAACTCAGAATGTTTTTAAATGCAAAAGATAAAATGTAGGAATAAAAGAAACCAATTAATATCAAGAGTTGATGAAAATAGGGAAAAAACCTAATTTGTAATATACAGTTAGCAAAATGTTCAAAGGCCTAATTTGTGATACAGTAGTATGTGCTCTATTAATAAAAAACTTGTAGGTTTAGGTCTGATAACTACTGTAATTTTGATGTAATTTTTTTTTTTTTTTTTTTTCTTGCCGGTACACGGGCCTCTCCCCGCCGTGGCCTCTCCCGTTGCGGAGTACAGGCTCCAGATGCGCAGGCTCAGCAGCCATGGCTCATGGGCCCAGCCGGTCCCGGTATGTGGGATCTTCCCGCACCAGGGCACGAACTCGTGCCCTCTGCATCGGCAGGCAGACTCTCAATCACTGCGCCACCAGGGAAGCCCTTGATGTAATTTTGAAATGAAATGTTTTGAGATGTGACAGTTGGAACATGAGAACATCTGTGGTTTCCTTTGGTGACCAAGTCACATAATATCGCTGTGATTTGTTGCCTATATTCATAATCAATGGAAATGCTAACTTTCAGTTAGAGGTTAACTGAAAATAAAGATGCAATTTTTTTTCCCCATTCAAGGTATGGACACCTTGATTTCTATCTGTGGACCTTTGTGGAGATCCATGAACTCTAGATTTAAAAACTGCTCTCAGGGCTTCCCTGGTGGCGCAGTGGTTGAGAGTCTGCCTGCCGATGCAGGGGACATGGGTTCATGCTCCGGTCTGGGAAGATCCCACATGCCGCGGAGCGGCTGGGCCCGTGAGCCATGGCCGCTGAGCCTGCATGTCCGGAGCCTGTGCTCCGCAACGGGAAAGTCCACAACAGTGAGAGGCCCACGTACCGCAAAAAAAAAAAAATGCTTTCACAGAAAGGACAGATTGGAGTTCAACACTTTCTAGTTCGTGGGACCCTGAACACAATTTTCTCAACTCTTTAAAGGGAAAAACATATTTATAAAGTTTTAGAAAACTCTTTAGAATCATGAGAATTAAAGTGCATATAAATATGCTTAGACTATTTATTGACCTGTACAGATTGGGTGCTTATAGAAGCAAAAACCTTTCTCCCATTAGATGTACTAAGGTTCAGCCTAATTCACTCCCAGTAATTAAGAGAAATACTGTTTCCCTTGAGGCGTGGGCAAGTGGGAGTGACACATGAGGATGGTTCTCTGGCTTTCCTAATACCTCTTTCCATAACGGTTCCCATCCCACCCAAACTTGACATCATTTCTAAACTGGGTAATGGTATAATCAGGATTTGGGGAAGCTAAGTCTTGGTTCTAGGGTTACCACCATTTGCCCATTGATGCACAAAGGTTTGCTAAATACTTTTGAAGTAAGTGAAACATCAAGAGGTTTAAAACAGGGTAAGTAGTATACTTATGAAAAACTGACATAACATATTTAAGTATAACATCTAGCTAGTGATAAGAAAGCTACCTGAAGGTTGTATTTTATAGAGTAGGCTTGGAGAATAAAGATCCATGTCCCAGCTAGTTTAAATAATGTTGATCAAGTGGCTGAATGTTTCCCATTGTCTAAATCGTAATGCATTCTTTTTGCCTCTAGATTAAAAATAGGCACCCCCAATGCTCACCTGCACCACACTTGCCTTTCATAGCTCTCACTCGCACAGCCTCAATTTGACTGGTGAGCACACAGGAAATATTGATGAAAACAGGTGATGCCATCTGCTGGAGGGAAGTGAAGTTGACTACTTTTATGGGGTAGATAGCCAGACCACGTGTGAGGGAAGAGTGCCTTTGGCCAGAGACCACTAGAACTGGAGAGCTGGGGAAGACCTTGGAGAAAAGGATATGGAACATGTTTGAAAGAAAAGTCAGTTTTGTGTCAATACATTCCAATCTTAAAAATATACAGTAAGACATCTGGATTTCTAGTTCTAGCTAGCTGTCTGACAAGTCACTTTTTCTCACTTAGATGTGTTGAAGGATAAGGGAAGAAAACGATCTGTGAGAATAATGTAGCCTTCAAAAAGAGTTTTAAGCTAGCATTCTAAAATTGTTTCAAGCCAGCATTGGTTTTATATATATATATACATAAAAGTATTTGTGTTATCTTCCAGACTGACAAGGCTCTTGACCTAGATTTTGGACTCTGGGGGCCCCCCCGGCATTGTGAAGGGGACAGATTTTCTTCATTTTGTTTAAGAATTTCCTGTGGTGAATTTTATCAAGTCATTCAGTAACTGTTCCTTTACCCTGGACTGAGAATGAAAAATCTCTTTTTCAAAACCCTGACCTGTTTTGCTTCAGTCCTTAACATACCTCTAGTTTCTCAAGAACTCTGTCCACTCCCAGTACTCT